AAATGCAACCCGCCTTCTTTCTCACTTTCTCCATTGCCTAATTCACATCCCTTTGCAGCTGTCCTTTTAGCCAGTGCTAAATTGCATGTTCAACACCTCTTGATGTATCTGTCCATTCTGCATAATATTGTATATAGGAAAACTCCCAGATCCCCAAAAACTGTTTTGGCAAAGGTCCATACTCACACATGTCACTGCATGCTGACATCACGCAGATGCATGGAAACACTGCGTCGAAAGAGTTTTGTCATCGTTTAAATACACGACTCCTTTAGACTGTCTCCCTTTCCAGCCCATGAATCAACGTTTCTCAAACTTTTTACAGCCCGCGCAAAAATAGAAAAATAAATAATAAAATTAATAAATAAAATAAAAATCTATCTCTCAAACTATCACCATCATGGCCATCATTAAAATACAGTACCATTGGAACCCCCAGATGTTCAGAAAAAAACATGAGGTGGAGGTTTCATCCATAATTAATATTATTTAATATGTTTGTGCAGAATGCAAGACAGTGTAACATTATGTAGTTTGCGTTCATTCATTCAAACAGTTTTTTCAAGTGGAACTTTTGCACTTTTTAGGGCAATTCTGCAACCGTTGAGTGCAAGATTGTGTAGTGAGGAATCTGGCTGCAGACACTGTCTTGTTTATTAGTACGCATTTTTGTCCTCAATTCCTAGTCCGTGCTCGCCTCAAAGTCGAAAACTTGACATGCAAATGTTTTTTTGTTTTTTTTAATTAATAGCCAAAGAAGAGAATGCCGAGTCAAAGCCTTTCTGTGCTCTCTCATCTGGGCCTGCTAATCAATTACCGAGCGATTCAGCAGTTCCTCTCTCCCCTACTTGGATGTCCGTCGCCATTATTTAAATTCTGTTTGTACCACTGATGAAGGGTACGCTGTCGCACACACCACATCACCGTGCACGCGTGACGCACACTGGCACACGTAGCACCATGCCGCGCCACCGCAGTGCCCCCTACCCAGCTGTTGTCATGTGAGCGCGTGGGCCCTAGCAACAGCGAGCGAGTGGGGGGGATCCTGACGAAAGCAGGGAAATGGGTAAAAACGAGGCAGAGGGGGAAAAAAACTGGTGATGAAGGGAAAGCAGCAGGAAAGGAGGGGCTTGGGGGCCTTAGAGCATAAATAAGTGATGAGTCCAACAGTGTGAATTGCTGTTCGTTAGCATTGCTGCAGCGCCGCCTTCATTTGCATGGCAGCCCACCCCCACCCGACTTACGCCATTTCCTCTCCCTTTTTCCCTTGCCCACCTTCACACGCCGTTTCATCTATTTTGGTCTTCTGTCCCTCGACTAGTTTGTATCTGAAAATAAATATGTCTTTTCCTCTTAATTTCCTTGGCTGCAGTCTGTGTGCTGGCAATATTCATCGTATCCTTTCATTACCGCAAACATTTTCGACTTCCACCTCGCGTTGCTCCCTCATCTTGGCAGTAACTCTCTGAAAATGGCAGCTATAGTCATCTATATTTAGCATCACCTTTTCCCTCCCACCACTTTTTCTCTCCTATCCATACCATTCATCTCACCTCACCTATTTTATCGAAAAAGGTTGCTCTGTCTCTGAGAGAGACATATCAATGCTTCGGGGCTCCCCAATCCATTTTTTTCTCTCCTTTGTCTACGCCCTTGCCTTTCCATCACAGTATTTGCATGTGTGTTTGCGCATACAGTACATAAAGACACACAAACATCCAGCGGGGGCTTTTCTCTGCCCTCGTCTTGACTCACTACCTCGGGCCAATCAGCTGAACTCAAACTCCATTACTTACATACCCTCCTACTAAAGAAGAACAGATGAAAAGGGGAAAAAAAGGCAGAGATTGGAAGAGGTTGAGGGCAAGGAGGAGAATTGGTGGAGATGTCATGAAGAAAAGACAAAACAAGATAAGAGAGGAGGAGGCAGAGGTCAGGAAATAAGGAGGATGTGAGGGCATGCTGGGATGAACCTAAAAATTTTGTTTCCGCCCCCCCCCTCCACCCCCACCCCCTGGTCGAGGGAGAAATAATTAGAGGAAAGCAGTCTCTGACGCATAGGCTCGCAAAGATGCATTCAACAACAACAATAACAGTCCCGGAGGCGTTGGCAGACTAGACGGGAATTGATCGCATCTCCCACGAGGAGATGTTTGCACGGGGAGATGAGACCAAGACGTGGAGGAATCGCTTTCACTCGTATACTGCTCTCTGGCCCGCGCACCCCACCCCACCTCCCACCCCCCGTCAGCCCTCTCACTCTCTCTTCTCGTCCCCCCCGTCAGTCCGAGGAACATGTTGCTCTTTATCTTCCTTCTCACTCCCTTCATCAATCGCAATCTGCTGTCCTCCTTACCTGTAGGGTCGCCTCCTGCAGTATATGGGAGGCGAATGTCAAATATTAGATACAAAGAGGTGGATGGTCATCAATTAATACTGATGGTAGAGTGAGTCACAGTACTGGCCACAGTAACCTACCTGCCTACCTACCATCACCCCACGTGTCAATTCACATTGTGGAATATTTGGAGACATCAATGCATTTTTTTTGCCTTCTACATAGAGCTGTGTCATAAGACTGGTTTTTGTGGCTGTAGCTTCAACTCGTGACAGCTGAAGTAGCGAGTTGATTGATCATTTAATAGTCACCTATATTTAGTATATTAATCCAGCTGTCCATTTTCTTTCCTGTTTGTCGTGATCTGACTTTGGACCACAGGTGGGGTACACCCTGGATTGGTCGCTAGCCAAACATAGGGCACATGAACAAACAAGCATTCACACCGATTGGCATTTTTCAATCTTCATTTAACCCATGGTGTCAAAGTAAAGGCCCGGGGGCCAGATCTGGCTCGCCACATCATTTTATGTGGCCCGCATGTGTGTGTATGCGTGTGTGCGTAAATAAGTAACAATGTCGGTATGTCACACTCTTTATTTCCAGTCAGTCAGTCCACCTGTGTTGTACCGCGGTCTTCTCTTGTCAGCTTTGCAAAGAGACATGAGAACATGCAAAGCCAACAACAGTAAACATGCACACACACACACACACACACACACACACACACACACACACACACACACACACACAGACACACACACACACACACACACACATTTTCTTGCACACTTTGCGGTCACATCGGCGTAACCAAACAATGTGCAACTTACAAGAAAGCCTGAAGTGTGCGCTGTCTAAAATAACCCTTTGGGGTTAGTGTGGAGTACAAAAGCAGTCAGGCAAGCGTAAAGAATCAAACACTGAAATTCACTCTCCTTATTTTTCCCGCCTGTCACTCTCGCTTCCCCCACTCCTCCTCTATTTCTCACACACACACACACACACACACACACACACACACACACACACACACACACACACACACACACACACACGCGCGCGCGCACGCACGTGCACACTTTTTTTTTTTTTTATTGACATGTGAATGAATCACGGCCAGAACTGGAATGAAAATGACACTAATCTGCAGTTACCGTAATACAGTGTGATGTGTGTTGAGATTCGAGACTGGTGAGGCACTCCTTCCCCAGAGGGGGGTAGAAAAATACAAAGCCGAAAAAGATTAGCCGTTATTACAATTATGAGCTGCAATAAAACATGTCGCAAATCGGGCCAAAATTCAATTTTCGAATGTTGCTTTTCAAAGCTTACATTGTTTCAATTTATTTCATGCAACACCTTTGTTTAAGCAGGAAATACAGAATTGTCTGCGATTTTTACAATAAAATGGTCAAAATACATTAAGAACCACACCCAAATCATAGTCCAGAGGACAAATATTAATAATTGTCTTATTTTATTATTTCTTTTCCTTTTCCTCTCATGATGACAGGGGAGGCACAGCCTCACCTGCCTCCCCTGAATGCATGTCACTGGTAACACACACACACACACACGCACGCACGCACGCACGCACGCACGCACGCACGCACACACACACACACACACACACACACACACACACACACATATCAATTATTAACACTTCCCTGGTCTCTTTTACTTCTATTCCTCATCTATCTTTCTTTGCGGCACATATCTCGCTCGATGGATGGGACATCTTAAAAGCTCTCATGTGTTTCGCTAAGTGCTGTGGTCGGCTCTTTTACATGATTTTTTTTTCCATTGTTTCTTTTGAAATCTGTGTTCATTATTAGTTTTCCAAGAGTCTTACAAAGGAGATTTTCGCAGCAAAAATCCCCCAAGAGCCAGAATTTAGTATCCTTCACAATATGACACACACACAAAAAAAAAAACACTCGTTTTTTCTTGAAAGGATTTTTTTTTTCTGATGTAAAAATCGAATAATAGATATCATGCAATTAATTAGCGTGTCTTGGTGAGAGCAAATGGGGGTGGGCAGCTTGAGTGTTGCCATAGTGAGGATGTTACCTCACAGCAATGCCATTCCGACGTGAGCGCTAGCATTACCTCTCATCAGTATCAGCTGTCTGTATTTAAAAATAAAAGTCATCGGTGTGACATATTTTCTACCTTTCCATAATAAATATGTAGAATATGAGAATGCATTTACGCCACAATTAATAAAGTAAAGAGTAAGTTGGGCATGACAGAAAAATATTTCGTCAGTTGACTTCCACTCATCTGGGATGACTTGAAACATGATTTTGGAATGTGTTGGGGCAACGTTTTGTTCATTCATCTGGAAATCTTAGTGTGCTGTTGCTGTACCTGAGAGACGGCCTGCTGGCGCACCGTTTCTTTCGTATTTTGTCCAAAAGTTTCCATTGGGTTGAGGGCACGTTCTTCAAAATGAAAACTCATCCAAAGTGCGCATACTTACTTGTTTTCACACTCTTCTCCCCGTGTACTGTAGTGCCTTTGTGCATAGATTAAATGTGTGGTCTTAATGAAAAAAAGTCTTCAGTCCCTGAACCGGTTAAGCCGCGGAAAATGAAAAAGTCTTTTTCTGACCCCAACTAATGTCTTCTCTTCTCCTTTTTGCTGTCTACCACAGGTAACCGTTTCTTCTTGACCTCATTTGGAGCTCTGTATATCTCAGCGGTGCAGAAGGAAGACGCTCTGTCCACCTATCGCTGTATCACAAAGCACAAGTACAGCGGTGAAACTCGGCAGAGCAATGGAGCCAGGCTCTCTGTTATGGGTATGTAACTTTTTCGGCAGGCACGTCTCGTGCCGAATCAACAAATGAGTGCCCTGTATTCGTTGTCTTCCTGCATCACCCCTTCAGACCCTACGGAGTCCACCCCGTCAGTGCTGGACAGTTTCCAGTCCGGTGAGGTGAAGGTTGGGCAAAGTGTGGAGCTGCCCTGCATCGCATCCGGCTACCCGAACCCCACAATCAGATGGTTAAAGGATGGGCGGCCACTGCCGGCAGACTCTCGCTGGACACGCCGCATCACGGGCCTCACGATTTCAGACTTGAGGCTGGAAGACAGCGGTAACTACATCTGTGAGGTCACCAACAGCTTCGGCTCTAAGGAGGTGACGGGTCACCTTAACATCATAGGTGGGTAATACCAACAGAGTATTTTGAAGGCTCCTCTCTGACACACTTAATTCCTTTCTTGGTGACCAATCACAAAGCTTTGTATAATGATTGACTTTTAAGCAGTCCAATAATTCAGATTCAGATTCAGAAAACTTTATTTATCCCCGTGGGGCAATTAGAGTTGTGCGAGAGCGGCTTATTATAGAGAGAGAGAGAGAGAGAGAGAGAGAGAGAGAGAGAGAGAGAGAGAGAGAGCGAGAGAGAGAGAGAGAGAGAGAGAGAGAGAGATTCCACATACAGTGACTGAAAAGCCATCCAGTGGCAGTACAGGTTGTGAAGGAACCCAAGCTCACACACACACACACACACACACACACACACACACACACACACACACATACACACACACACACACACGCACACAAAAGCATATGAATGCAATGGTAAATGTACAAAACATGAGCTCTATAATCAGCTCAGTGTGATCTAGTCTTTTGTATTGTAATTGTCAAAACGATCCAGCTTTTGGAACCTTTGGTGTGTGGTACTCAAAGAATGGAGCAGGCTTTTTTTCTTTCACATTTATTTTGTAATAAATAAACAGCCACACTGCCCCCCCCAAAAGATCACAGAATTTCAAAAGTGGCCCACTTTTGTGCTTTTGTCACATTCCTATTATTCATTGAATATATTGTTGAGCTTTCTGAACTAAATGCCTGACTGACTCATCTGCCGGCTGATATTAGCTCTTTTAAAATCTGCAAAAATCTGCAGATTTTTTGGGGCCGATTTTTTAATCTTTTTTTTTCTACACATTTGAGCACAAGACAGACAAACGCCCACACCACAAGAAAAAAAATTATCGTCAAATTGATTTTTGCAAAGATTTTTCTCTGTTGTGAAGTTAAATACTAAAGAACAAAGTAATTTAAAATATTCTACCTGTAAATCATATACCGATTGTTGTAAGCTTGAAGGGACCCCAAAAGAATTAATTTTATTCATTATATATTTTTGAAAGAAAAAAGAAAACAAATCTGAATACTCTTTCTATTACTCTCCATGCATCTTCCATCTTTAGAGCCCCTACGGGTCACCTTGTCCCCCAAGAACCTCAAGACGGGCATCAGCAGCACAGTCATCCTGTCTTGCGCCGTCCAGGGTTCTCCTCACTATACCGTGTCGTGGTACCGCAACACAGAACCCGTCCTGCCTGACCAGCACTTCTCCATCCAAGGCGGTCACAACGAGACTTTGTTCATTTCGGCAGCACAGAAAAGACACTCGGGAGCTTACCAGTGCTTTGCCACCCGCAAGGCACAGACTGCTCAAGACTTCTCCATCATACTTTTGGAAGGTGAGGTTCATCAAGAACTGAGATGCATACAGATTTTGAGAAAAGGACACATCTCACAAGACTTTTTTTGACAGTTTGGGGTGAATAGCGTATCCATCTATTTCCCTCAGATGGTACCCCACGTATTGTGGCCTCCTTCAGTGAGAAGGTGGTCGTCCCGGGTGAGCCGTTTTCGCTGATGTGCACCGCCAAAGGAGCGCCCCCGCCGACCATCACCTGGACCCTGGACGACGAGCCGGTGGCCCGCGACCTGTCCCGCTTGCGAGCCAGTCAGTACACGCACTCCGACGGGAGCACCGTGAGCTACGTCAACGTCAGCAACCCCCAGATTCGCGACGGAGGATTGTATCGGTGCGCCGCACGAAACTCGGCCGGTAGCGCCGAGTACCAAGCGCGCATAAACGTAAGAGGTGCCTGTCTACTTTTCAATATCAGTCATACTCAAGGCTTCACACGGCCTTAACCCTACCATCTCCCCGACCCATACCCCGTCCTCTACCCTTCAACTTCTTTACCTCTCTCTCTTTATACATGTTTTCTCTCTGTTCCTCTTGTCTCAAATGATCTTTTTATCACTAAAATGTCACTGGAGGATTAAACCATTGGTTAAACTCGCGATCACCATCCAATGTGACATTAGTGAGATCATCAGGGAACAGGACTGCAACTAACTTGATTCATTGTTATTCCAAGATGGACGGAGTGTAGTGAAGATGCGGTTTGTAAGGGAAGAAGAGCATGAAGCAGATGGTTGCCCTGTAGATGGATATGATCAGAGGCGTGCCAGTGTGTGGATCCAGTGATGGTAAATTCTGGTGACAGGACCGGTCCTGTCAGGATGATGACTGACCCTGATGGACACGGCTGCGTCGTCGTCTACACATCTCGCTCTCAGTCTGCTGTTCTCTCTTTCCCGCCCGTGCTTTTCTCCATTCTTTTGCGAAATACTCCGGTGTGACAGGAGAGTTTTATCCAAAGAGACGTGCCGTAATAATCACTGCAGTGACAATGCGGAGCATTTCCAGAGCACTTCAGCACCACGAGCAACAAAAACTGACAGACACATGGCATGGACCTACCGAAGGAAAAGTGGTACTTATCCACTCACAGAAATGGGATTCACTCAACTTATCCCAGTCAGGGGGCCAACAACTGCAGTCATTGTTGAGAATACACGTGGATATACTGTATATCTCTGTGTGTTTTTTCTGAGAGTGCGTCTGTGCTGTGCGCTCGCGAGACGGTGCTGCTGAATAATACATCTTTGGCTCGTCAAAGCTGCGACTTCAAAGCTCGGCACACACTGAGAAATGGAGGGGTGGGGGGGGGGGGTGAGGCGGGGTGCAAGGCAGGGTGGCGTGTAAGAGAGGTGGAAAGAGAGACAAATACAAAGATGTACCTAAGATGAACTGGAAGAAGGAAAGGTCAGCCAACAGGTGAAGGATGAGTGAGGGATGGCCACTGTTGTCCTCTATTGACACCATTTGTCTCGCTCTCTGAATTCTAAGACAAGATAAGAAAACCTTTATTTGTCTCACAATGGAGAAATTCCCAAGTTACAGCAGCAAAATTATGAAAGGGAGGAAGTAGAAGACAAAAAGTATATAAATAAATATAAATATAAAATATCAATATAAGCATAGTAAAAATGGGTGAGTGGGGGTGAGTCCAGGTTTTCAGGACCATCGATTCGATAGCCAGACAGCAGTCGGCAGGAACGAGCGGCGGTACCTCTCCTTCTCGCGGCGCGGGTGTATCAGTCTCTGGCTGAAGGGGCTGCCCAGTGCTGTCAGGGTGGCCTGGAGAGGGCGGGAGGGTCTGTCCATCATAGCTGTTAGCTTAACTAGCATCCTCCTGTTGCCCACCTCTTCCAGAGTGTCCAGGGAGCAGCCCAGGACAGAGCTGGCCCACCTGACCAGTCGGGCCAGTCTCTCTCTGTGAGATGCTGCCTGACCAGCAGACTTTGCCATAATGTATGGGTGAGGCCATCACAGAGTCATAGAAGGTCTAAAGGAGTGACTCCTGAACTCCAAAAGACCTCCGTTTTTTGCCCCTTCCTGATCACAGCATCCGTGATGTTGGACCAGTCTAGTTGATTGTTGTTTTGTTTTAGACTGGCTCTCTTTGTCTCATATTGTTGGAACTATTGGCTACCGCTGATATTTTGGGACACAACCATTTACCGCCCATAGCTCTAGGTACACTTGCGCTATGTAATTTGATCCAGGTACATCGGAAGAAAATATAACATCACGATCACAGCAAGCTTTGAGTGACCTTTACATCATGTACTTGATAATTGGCAGACCGATTCGTGTTATGGCACAGCACTTCAATCCAGGCTGGGAGACTCTTTATTGTCCATAGGTGTGAATTTGAGTTTGGATAGTCACCCACAACCAAATGAGGACAAGTGTGATAGAAAAAGAAACAGAAATGCTAGCGGTCCAGGCATTTGGAGTCACAAAAACCCAGTCAAGATGATTCTAATTTCTCTTTCTCTTCTTGTCCCGCTTGCGCATCCCCTACCCACAACCCAATCACCTCCCCCCTGTAACTCCTTCCCTCCAAAAATTCCACACCTAAGTTAGACACCATCAACTAATGAGCTTCTTTTCCTCTCTTTTCTTCTTGTGGTCCAATCCCTCTTTCTCTATCTCTATCTCCTTGGGCTTCTCTCGCGTCTGTTAATCAGGCAATCCAAGGATTCGACCGATGAAGAACATCACGGCTGTGGCAGGACGCAGCTCTTTTGTAAACTGCCGAGTGATCGGCTACCCATATTACTCCATCAACTGGTACAAGGAGGGGCTTCTGCTACCTGACAACCATCGTCAGGTGAAGTCAGCCACGCTCGGTGCAGATTTCAAGACAAACCTTGGTTTCACAAAATAGATAACAAGTGGCCAGTCACAGTTCTGTTCTGTCCGCATCATAACAAAGACTATTTCAGTGATTAACTTCATATTTGTACGGTATGTTTGAGTCACTTTCAACGGATTGCAGGGCTTTTTATTTCTAATATTGCACATTATATCCCATTTTTTGGGAGGGATAGTATTTAATCAAAGCAAAAATGGGTGAAATTAGTCGAGTCGTTGACATTAATGCTTGTCCCCAAAAAAATTAATTGCCTTGAGTTATCATTAAATACACTAGATTAGAAACGGGAGCGCAAGTTTTAGCTGTTTGGCCCTGACTAACCATTATGCAACGCTTTGCAGGTGGTGTTTGAAAACGGTACCCTGAAGCTTACTGATGTCCAGAAGGGGATGGATGAGGGGGCGTACATCTGTAGTGTGCTCATACAACTGCAGCTGTTCATCAAGCAGACTGTATACGTCACAGTCAAAGGTGAGTCACGCCATTCCATTCTGAGACAAAAGTGCGTGCTTGTTCTCACAGGAATTTATACAAAAAGTAATGTCAGGTATTTAACAGAAAATTATTTTACTGTATACTGTAGAACAAATCAAAAAGAGAAATCGGATCCCCACAACTCTGTTTAAAATTTTCACTGCCAGACATTTTTTTTGTATTAATTGCACATTGGGTCACATTCACCAGTTGTTTTTTTAGGCACTTGGACTTGCAAGCTTTTCACTGAGGTCACACGTGTGAGCCGCAGTGAATAATCATAATGCACAAACTGTTTATTCTTTATATCCTAGTAAATGACCTGTCAGGCAAACTGAAGATCACTGATGCTGGCCTAACCGGCCCAGTACAAATTTTAATAAATACATACAACAAAATCAACACATTCTTTCTTTTTAAAATCTAATATCAATCAGCATCGATCTTTTTACTGCACTGCACATAGTTTCATGTGAATCTGTTTAAATCCTTGAACAATATATCAAGCAGAGAAAATGTCAAATGTAAAATTTCAATTCTGTCTGTCTTTCTGTCAATCTATTGACCTTTCGATCTATATATGCCATACAAAAAAAAAAACAGACATCATATTTTCTGAAAAAGTAAAAAATAATAGGACCCTGACACAGTACTGCCAACTGCTATTTTGCTTACTTAAATCACATTACAAACGTTTTTTTGAGTGGGTGCTAGAACGGATTACAGACATTTCCATTCAATTCAATGGGAAGATATAATTTGAGTTACAAATATACACTAGTATCACAAAGCACCACTGTATTACACTGAGTTATTCCAGTCTGCGATTGGCTGGGAGAGGCTCCAGCACGCCCGCAACCCTGGTGAGGATAAGCAGTTCGGAAGATGGATGGATGGATGGATGCATGGATGGATAGATGGAAGTTTTCCAGTGTTTTAAAACTTTCAGAATTTTGCTTCCCTACTATTCAGTAAACTTCAAGTTTCTTGCTCATAATAGGAAAAGGGAAAAATTATGGGTAATGAGCAGTGTGACTGTCGACCAGAAAGGTTGTGAGTAAAGCAGGAAGAGAACAAAGCATGTATGCATTGCCTCTAATAACCCCTGATTAAGGGGCGGAGTGGACTCTCGCATCCACTCAGCAATTAAATGGAGCCCGAGTGCTTTTGAATAAGATCTGTGCGAGAGCATGCCAAGCACATGTGTTTACATGTGTGGTGGATGTGTTTGGGCTCTACTTGTCACCTTGCGTGTTTATTCACTTTGCCCTCTGCGGCACCCGCATTGTTGTGTGTGTCGCGTTTGGACGCTATCGGCTGTGTTGAAAAACAGCGTGTTTGCCTCCGTGTGGTTTGCAATGTGCAGACGTGTGAATGTGTGCTCGTCATGTCTCTGATTTAATTAGATGAATTTTAATGAGGTCCAGATTAAATCCCCCAGATGTCTCAGCTGTAACCCCCACCGCCGCCACCCTCCCCAACTCTGAATCATTACCATCGGTCTCCATAGCAACACCATTCTCCCCCTGTGGATGAGGTCCTAATTAGAGCAGCTATTATGAGTTGGCTTTATCAGGGCAGGGCGTGTTGGAGTGGAGAGGTTGGCGGGGGGCACAGGCACACTGGCTAGTGGGTGTAAATATGCAGGCAAAAATGGTTCAGAATATTTGGTGGGGGGGTGACATTAGTTGAGGTGAATTTATTAACGATGTGTTTTTGTCTTCTATCTCTCCCCCTTCTCTGCTTCATTCTCATGCCACGTCTACCCCACTCACCCCACACACCGCTGACTCTCCACCTCGTGTCCCTTCAATGCCCTCGCATCTGCAAATCGGCACGTCTCCCCGTTATTCCGCCTTCACATCGTCTCGCTACACCCCATCCTTCACTTATTCATATCTGACTTTGAATCTCCGTCTTCACCTCTTACTCACCTTGCTCATTGAAACAACCATCAAACTGGTTGGTCCTCTTCTTCCCTTTATTTCCATTACTCTGTTTGCCCGTCATCCGCCACTCTCCTGCCCTGGATTTCCCCCTGTTGCCTGTCCTTGCATTGTCTCGACGCCACTCTGTTTTCATCACACACTGCCATCACGATTATACGTCATGTCACTACTTCTCTTCCCTTCCACCTTGCACCTTCCCCCTCTCTGCATTTAATCACTGTAATCCCACCCAGTTCCTCCGTTGATCCAGCCATTTGACTTTCCGCCGACCTCCATCGGCAAGCTGATGTACATCGCTTGCGTGGTGGCGTCCGGAGATATGCCCATCCGCATCACGTGGCGCAAGGACGGCCAGGAGATCGTGCCTTCGTCGGGCATCACCATCGACACCAAGGAGTTCATGAGCTCCCTGCAGATCTCAAAGGTGTCACTGAAGCACAACGGCAACTACACCTGCATCGCCAGCAACGATGCCGCCACTGTGAGCACTGAAAGGCAGCTCACTGTCACAGGTGAGGAAGAAGCAGAAGCAGAGTGGAGTTTTGGCAAGGACAATCATCGAAGTTTGGATCAAAATGAAATGAAATAGCTCCAGATACTCCCACCGACTAGAATTTCCACTGGGCCGAGTAAAGCAGCCGCATTACATTGATTGTTCCGGAGTTTAGTTTTAAGAGTTTAGGAAGAGGTTATTATTTTTAGCGTTGAAAGAAAATAATTCAAGGGGTTGATTAATTTTGCATAGTCCTGTTCAACAACGTGCACAATAGATGCATGATCTCATACTTTTGTCATACATGCATGACATTAAAAAAAAAAAATGTCACTACGTTGATATTAGGGTTGGGTGATATATTCTATTTGCTCTCTTACCTCTCTACGCCCATTGATGGCTGTCAGTAAGATCTCATCGGCAAGCTGATGTACATCGCTTGCGTGGTGGCGTCCGGAGATATGCCCATCCGCATCACGTGGCGCAAGGACGGCCAGGAGATCGTGCCTTCGTCGGGCATCACCATCGACACCAAGGAGTTCATGAGCTCCCTGCAGATCTCAAAGGTGTCACTGAAGCACAACGGCAACTACACCTGCATCGCCAGCAACGATGCCGCCACTGTGAGCACTGAAAGGCAGCTCACTGTCACAGGTGAGGAAGAAGCAGAAGCAGAGTGGAGTTTTGGCAAGGACAATCATCGAAGTTTGGATCAAAATGAAATGAAATAGCTCCAGATACTCCCACCGACTAGAATTTCCACTGGGCCGAGTAAAGCAGCCGCATTACATTGATTGTTCCGGAGTTTAGTTTTAAGAGTTTAGGAAGAGGTTATTATTTTTAGCGTTGAAAGAAAATAATTCAAGGGGTTGATTAATTTTGCATAGTCCTGTTCAACAACGTGCACAATAGATGCATGATCTCATACTTTTGTCATACATGCATGACATTAAAAAAAAAAAATGTCACTACGTTGATATTAGGGTTGGGTGATATATTCTATTTGCTCTCTTACCTCTCTACGCCCATTGATGGCTGTCAGTAAGATCTAAAAAAAAAAAGACTTTTTTTTTTTTTTTTTTTTTTTTTTTTTTTTTTTTTTTAGAAAACAAAAAAATCATTTTAACTGAACCCATCTTAATTTCAGATATCTGGTAAAAATATCCCAATACATTTTAGCCATATCTCACAGTCCTAATTGAAATCAATAATTGATGGACCTAAAACCATATTTATTCCCCCACAGTGCCTCCTCGCTTTGTGGTGCAGCCCAACAACCAAGACGGAATCTACGGGAAATCGGGTATCCTAAACTGCTCAGTTGATGGATACCCACCTCCCAAGGTCATGTGGAAGCACGGCAAAAGTGCACTAGGTACAAAATCACTTTCTTAAAATTTTTTGCAACCACCACCCACAACATGAGACACACTTGCATGTATTTTCTAAAATAAAACAAAGTTAAATGATGCAGAATGACTTATGTATAACTGCTTCTAGCATTCGCAAAATTAAACATGCACTCACTTGCAATTCCCATTTAAAATTTTCACCAGTCAACCAACTTGTGCATACGACTCTTGTCATCCATTTTGAGACGGTTAAGGGTGGCCTTCTACTTGTGGGAGATCCCGGCGTTTTAATCTGTATCCATTTCTCTCTTTCTCTCTATCGTCTGTATTTTGGCTCAGCGGGTATTGGGAACCCACAGCAGTACCACCCCGTGCCTCTGACGGGCCGAATACAGATCATGAACAATGGCTCGCTACTCATCCGCCACGTCCTGGAGGAGGATCGTGGCTTTTACCTGTGTCAGGCCTCCAACGGGGTGGGCTCCGACATCAGCAAGAGCATGGCGCTCACTGTTAAGAGTAAGTATATCAACTCTTATTGCTAATAGTAAATTACTACAAAAGAAGACTACACGCAACCCCATGCTGCTTTTAAAAATATTCTGCTTCACCTGACTGTCCCTTGTAGGCTACAATTGTTTTAATAGCCATAAAATTACCAATATTTTGTCAGGCTAGGGTTGCAGGTCTTGGAAGTATTCAAAATCAAAGTGACTTGAGGGATATCAGCTTTGACTTTTAAGAAGTTTTTCATCTTCAAGCTGTTTATCGCCACTCCCAGTTGAAGTTTACTGTCACACTTAAACATGATATTTAAAACAAGCACAAAGTTTTGCTTTAGCTAGTGCAGTTCAGCTCAGTGCTAACAAACAATGCAATATCCCCCGAAAAACAGCATTGGTGTTCCAGTTTTACAAACCTCTAAGGCGGGGGTGTCCAACTCATTTTTTGTCGCGGGCCACTTCGGAGTCACGGCTTCTCTCGGTGGGTCGGTGCAAAATCTATTTATTACCCATCACAATTTGACATTTCGGTACAGATTTCAGCAAGAATCAAAATAGTTGACGCACATGATTTACTCCCGCGGGCCACATAAATTGAGGTGGGGGGCCGGATCTGGCCCCCGGGCCTTAAGTTTGACATCAGTGCTCTAAGGTGACACATAACACAGCAATACTCACTGGCATATATTCTTTATCATCTGTGAAGAATGACATATTTGTGTATATATATATATATATATTACTATCATAAACTACAATATATGAAATAAATATACTGCACAATATTGGAAAAAACGTGTGTGTGTGTGTGTGTGTGTGTGTGTGTGTGTGTGTGTGTATATATATATATATATATATAAAATATAATATGATTCATATTTTTATTAATATAAATATTTATAGTGGGGCCAGTATAAATGAGACAAACAACTCAGAAGAAGCCTGCGAAAGGCGACTACCGGTAATTTAAACCCCAGTGTGTGTGCATACAGTACGTTTCTATTGAATAGGTTGTGAGAATGTCGAGCAAGTAAGCGATTGATCCCCCGAACCCGAGGGATCTGTCTACAGACAATCAAAACCACTTTGAGCTTAATCATTGTCTGCAATCAATCGGCGCGGCCTGCCCTCGCTGTCAATAATGGACTGCGTGATGATAAAGCATGGGAGGGAGTGCTAGAGGACAACGCGCGCACCGCACACGAACCGAAGTGAGCGGCGGAGTGATATTAGCTTTATCACACCGGATGATGACCTTACCTGACAGCCGCATCGGCAAAAGAGATGTTAACGGCTCATTTCTGGCACGTTTGACACTATCTCATGCTGACACAAGTGTACAAATACCCGCACTATCAAGGGGTTACTCCAAACACACCGTCCCACACCCCCACCCGCCTTTCGGTATTAGTGTTATTGATTGAATCGTTCCTCTCCTCTGCCTCCCTCAATTTTGTCTATTTGGTTCAGTGGCGAGAGAGGAAAACGAGGCGAGGGTGAGATGAATAAGTGATGAAAACAAAACAGCAGAGTCTTCCTCCTCGGGTCGATATTGTGTGCGCGGGAAGATTGAGTGCGCGAATGATTTTGTGTAAAGAGGAAGGCAAAGTGTATCGCTTTTGCCTCTTCATTCACCTAGACCTCGATGTTAACTATCGGAGAATGAGAGAGGAGGTTTATCGACTTTACCTCATTGACCATTGCTCTTCACGGCTGCCACTTGGCCACACTCGACTCCATCTTTTTAACGGCTCGCTCTCCTTTCCTCGCCCTCTCTGCTCCTTCACCTCCTTTTAAACCCTGCTTATTATCCACTCACTTTCGTGTCCGTCCGTCCCCCCCCCCCCCTCGTCGTTCCATCCCGCCCTCCCGGCTGCAGTCCCAGCCATGATCACAAGTCACCCCAACACCACTATGGCCAAGAAAGGTCATGTTAAGGAGCTGAACTGCACAGCCAGGGGAGAATGGCCCATCATCATTCGCTGGGAGAGAGGCGACACGGTCATTGACCCTGACCGCAATCCCCGCTACTCTATTACCACCAGCCCCAACGAGAAGACAGACGAGGTGTTGTCTACTCTCAAGGTAAGAAACACTTACACCTTTGCAGAGCGCTCGGCTGATGAAAGCAGACAGCGGTGACTTTATGACTCTCACTTGACAAATCGTTGCACTTTGTTTCCATAAGTCGGGGTGCAAGTTGCAGAAACCACACGCAGTCACTTTCACTGTTTCCTTGAAATAGAAGAATCTATTTTCCAAAATAACAAGCATTTGCAATTCCCTTCACAATTGCGTGTGCATACTGAGCGATGATGTTGCTGGGCTGATGTGTCAAAGAAAGAAATGAATTGCCAAATATAACTAAGGACTTAAGACACCCCGGCAGTCTTCAAATACCATGCGAGTGTCCTCCCAAGAGGCTGTGAGCAGGATATGGACGACATCAAAAGACTGATTGGATGCTTTTCAAGTGTGAGGCGATGACATCGCCGCTTTCTACATTGCCTCTATCTATAGCGAGCACTAAATTGCGTGTTCGCTCTGACGGATTGTGGCGATCTTGGAGGACGTGTAGCACGTCTATTACAAAGATTGCGATCTTTTACCAAGATCCCAAATAGCCGGCGTAAAATTGTGTGTCCGCGCACCATAGATTGTGTGTGCTTTAGGCAACAGGTGTAAAATAAATGGTGACAACTTTATTTTAAAGAGGAATTTGCACGATATATATATCTGAAGGATTTCATTTGGGAGTCCACTGGAAGTGCAGAATTAAGAATTTAGTAATGGAATGTAAAGCATTGGCTGGAAAAGACAAACATTGATCATAGTGATAATTTTGGGAAAGCCAGCAACCACCATATTTTATTTGATTTAGCTCACACGAAGTGAATGGCAATTGCATGGACAAGTATGCACCTGTCCTGTGTTTAAAACTTAGGACAGCACATGTGGAAAAACTCCTCTGCGAGAGGCCAGCGCCACTTGTCACAGTGCACTGAAATGACCCAAAAGCACAGAAAAGCAGATTTGAAAGGTCTTTTGTTCTCATTGATATGGCACGACTCCTTCTTGTGACTAGCGCCGAGTCAGCCCTTTGATCATGCAGAAGCTTCAAAATTATATTTTGAATGAATAATAGGCTTTGAAAATTTTTGTTGGCATTTCAGGAATGGTTTATATTAGAGAAAAAAAATCATCCTTGTCACCTTTAATTTTGCCTTTGGATTACTGGCATCGCTTGGCATGCTGGTTTGCGCCTGCCTTTCAGACGCGTTCTTTCAAGACACAAAATCAGGCAGTGACATTCACCTCAAGGGCGATAAATTGCATTGGGTGTACTCAATTAACTATTTGCGTGTACAGTACACCTCCCACAATGCAAAAATGGACTTCATGGTAATTGACGTCTTTGGCAGACACCATCTATGATTAGTAGATTTCAGCTTCCACAACTGCGCCCATGTGCTGTCAAGTTTGTGCCTGTTTTTGCACGTGCTAACCTTTCTTTGAATCAGCCCGGTGTTTGAACTAAAAAGACAAAAAATAAATAAATGTCCCCCCTCAATCATGCTGGATATTCACTTTTTGATTGAAGTGAATGCAAATGAGTTTTATTCCCGCAATTATGGTGGAATTACAACATGCAAGAATTTACATAACGAATGCAGAACGGTACTCGAGCCAAGCAATTCTAATTGGGATCAGCACCTTTCAAGAAGCCCGCCTCCCAATGCCGAAATATTGTCGTTTTGTTTTGTCCTTTGCTACAAAATGAAGAAAATGATTGTCACATTCCTTATCTTACAGCATCAACAACGTAAAGAATAATCCTTTAATCCATCCATTCATCCATCTTCTATTCCGCTTATCCTCACAAGGGTCGCGGGCGTGCTGTAGCCTATCCCAACTGTCTTTGGGCAGGTTGCCGGCCAATCGCAGTAACCCTTATGTTTGCATCTTTATCTTGAAACACAACTTATTTAAATTCATGTGTGGCCCATATGCATCAACCCTCAAGAAAGCTCCATGGGAATCAGTCGTCATTTTTGCATCATCCTGCTCACCAACATGTCAGCAGTAATGAGAAAACAACCAAGCAGGCATATGCAAATGATTGTAACATTTTTTTTTAGCCTCTCTGCAAAATGAAATCAAAACAATCGATATTGATCTTGATGCTGAGGTGTAACCTTTCTCATGTTGCAAAATGACCAAGAGAACCGTTGCAATAGCACCAGACAATAAGCCCCCTTAACCGCACCAGCTTCATTCACTCCTCAAAAATGAATATCTGGCATTCTAATATTTCCCCGTGTCTACTTGTAGCTAAAACCAGCAGAGCGGGAGGACTCTGTCTTCTTCTCCTGTCATGCCATCAACTCGTACGGCGAAGGACGAGGCCTCATTCAGCTCACCGTGCAAGGTACTCATACGCTTCTTTGCATCGATGAAAATCTCCCGCTCGTCCCATTCACACTGCTGAATCATCAGAGCCCCCAGACCCTCCAGAGCTGGAGGTGCGGGAAGTGAAAGACCGCAGTATGAACCTGCGATGGACGCAGAGGTTCGACGGGAACAGCGTCATCGCCTCCTATGACATTGAATATAAGAACAAGACGGGTATGTACAAGAACCACAGAAAAAAAAGGTCAGTTGATTCTGAGGATTGAAAGGAAACGTTGTCTGTCCCCTTTTTGCCAGATACCTGGGAGCTGAAGCATGCCACCCGAAACATTTCCCCCACTAACAATCAGGCCAACATTGTGGACCTTCACCCGGCCTCCGTCTACAGCATCCGCATGTATTCCTACAACGCCATTGGCAAGAGCGAAGCCAGTAAGGAGCTTACCATCAGCACCGAGGAAGCTCGTAAGTACATCGCCGCATCTGAGAAAAGATTTTATTTGCCCGTGTGACAAATGGTACACTGTGCGTTTTCGCAGAGCCCGATGGTCCCCCGATGGACGTGATCCTGCAGCCGGTGACCTCTCAGAGTATCAGGGTTACTTGGAAGGTAATGCATTGTCTTTGCTGCAGAGGTGGCAAAAGTACTCACACGCTGTGTACTCAACTCACCTTTCAACTGTATTTATAGAGCACTTTAAAACAACCATCGCTGTATACAAAGTGCTGTACATGGAGCAAATATTATATCATATACAGGTATACAACAATAAACAATAAAACAATAATTAATAACAAAGACAGTAGAAAGTACAAAAACAGTAAAACTAAAAATCAAGTCTGAGTCATGCTTCAGTCGAGGTACAGGGATAGAAATGGATAAAAAAGACAAGCTAAAATAAAATAAAAGCAGGACAGAAACTGAAATGTTTTTTTTGAACTGACAAAAAAAATGCTAAATTAGCTGAAAGGTGTTGCGCAACTTCCATCCATCCATCCATCCATTTTCCGATCCGCTTATCCTCACAAGGGTAGAGCAGGTTGTTGCGCAACTTTTTCTTCACTAGATGCTAATGGCATGGTAGAAAGGCATGTTGATGTCGACCGTTTGCTGATGATGTCGATAAATGCTTCTTCGAAGAAATACAGGAGGTGGAAATGTTTTGCAACAATCTTCACCGACAATGGACAGCTCATACGCCAAATTCACACAGAACATAGATGTTAGAAAACAAGAGCATTTAACGTGCTTCGCCCCCCGTGGCGGGATGATATTTCCGTCCAGAGAAAAGTCCTCTCGCCCCTCACCTCCAAGTATGCTGTGAAATAATTCTCCATGGTCCTTCCACTTGAATTGCGTGCGTCGCATTGCGTATCAAGGGTTTCAAACAGATGGCAAGGTGTCGTCCACAATGCAAGCTTTTATACACAACCGCAGGCGACACCGACACACCCGGTTTGCTCAGCGAATCTCAGTAGTTGGTGAAGCCAAACCTTCAAAATAAAAGCATATCGTCTGTTACTGCCCCCCTTCTTGAGGGGTCACTCTAAACGTTTTTGGGTAATTGCCGATTTGCTAATAATAACGGCTGGAAAAATACACTTTAACTGTGTGTGTGTTTTTGTGTGGACAGGGAATTTTGGAACACCAGAATCATCCTCGGAGCCGACAACCTCAAACATGTTTTTTTAATATGGCTCATTTCTCCAAAACCGTTTCGTCATCGTTCTTTGTGTTCCCCGGTTTGCCTCACTCAATGTGGTTGCTGTGTCTATTTTTTTTTTCCACCCAACAGGTCTCAAACATCTCAATCAATCAATCAATCAAACTCTTAACCGCAGTTGATTTCACCTGTCTCGACTTATGTTCTTTTCAATCTTTGCCTTCCATGCAGGTTGAAAAAATAATAATAATGAGCCTATTTTGACAAAGAATGAGTCGAAAATAAAGAATCCTGAAGTAAAAATGTATCTGAAAAAAAATATTCAATATATTCAATACTGAGAGCATCGCTACCGCTTAAAAAAAAAAAAAAAAAGATGTTGCGACTCATCTCATTCCATCGCACAGGCTCCCAGGAAGGAGCTGCAAAACGGAGTGATCCGAGGTTACCAGATCGGTTACAGAGAGAACGGCCCGGGCAGCAACGGCCAATACAGCATTGTGGAGATGAAGGCCACCGGAGACAGTGAGGTGTACACGCTGGACAACCTCAAGAAGTTCGCCCAGTACGGCGTGGTGGTTCAGGCCTTCAACAGAGCTGGCACCGGGCCCTCCAGCTCTGAGATCAATGCGACTACACTCGAAGATGGTAAGGCGCAGTCATTATACGGTCAATGGCCACAACAATCGGTGCGAATACTTCATGTCGTGTGTGGAAAAGTCTCATGTTTGAACCACGACTGGTTTTGTAGTGCAGTTAGGTGAGTTTAGTGAGGCAAACGAGAAGCAAAACACCTCTCAGTGTGATATAACGGCTACACCACGGCAAACTACAAAAAAAAAAGAAATGGAAGTGTTTTTTTTTCCCCCTAGTGTAGAAACAGGCCACTTTAGTGACCAGCTGCCATAATTGATGCTTTTCAAACAGCACGGCGCCGCGTGAGCAAGTGGAAGCGCAAACCGTCACCCTTCCGCCAGCTTTGATTCACAGTTACTGCACGTTCTGTGTCGCTTTCTCGCCGCCTGAACTGTGTCACGTTGCTCAATCCCTTTTTTTTTTTTTTTTTTTTTTTTCTTTTCAACTCAAAAATCACCGCCTTCGCTCGATTCCGCCAAGAATGAATGCCCCGCTGTAATCTAAAGCTTTTGTGATTGCTGGAAATAAACAACTGCCACTGATCTCATTGATGTTTCTTTAACTTTTGTTTTCAACGGGGCCAAACGTTTGCACATTTTAGGCGTTCAAATGCGTAAGCTACGCTCGGGTGCAGTGATTTTCTTTTGTTTGCTGATTAGACAAAGACGTCCTACTGAAAATGCCTTACGCTGTCGTTTGATTTTTCAATGCCACAACAATTATTGTAATTGAAGCGATAGCATACAGTCCATAAGGAAAGTATTGACAGCGTTTCACTTGGTCCACATTTCATGTTAGAGCTTCATCCCCAAATGGAAGCAATTCACATTTTTCTTCAAAATTCTACACAACAAAATAATAAAATAAAAATCAGATACCATTCATAGTGCGTCGCTTATTGCCTTAAAAGCATTTTTCTTTCCAAAACAAGCTTCCTACGGAATAAAATAATCAAATAAAAATCAGATACCGTTCGTAGTGCGTTGCCTATTGCCTTAAAAGCATTTTATTTCCCCCAAAACAGGCTTCCTACAATCTCTGCCATCACCGCCTGTCACTTTCTCCCAATGCAAACACAAGCGCATGCACGGATGCACAGAAACTAACACAGAGAACAGTTGGTTGGGCCCCATTGGTCCAGAGCAGGCAGAGCCCTCCAGCGCTTCCCCGTGGCTGTCACCGTGGCGACAGTGAAATTGACGGCCATTATGATAATAGTGATAAAAACGAGCATACTGAAAATAATTCTAATTAGCTTGTCTGTTGATCCATCTTTCCCTCGGCCTGCTTCCTGCTGCAATTATCCGCAGCTGAGCGCTTTGTCTCCCTGCACCTCTTTTCATCCTTTTCTGCCCTTCCTCTGCTTTTAACTCCCTTCCTCTCTTCTTCCTTTCTTCCTCTACGCTGCCCTGCAGTGGGAAAAATGTCTATGTTTTTGTTGCTTATCCACCCATTTTGGTTGTCTTATTAATGATCCAACAAGTAGACACCGTTATGCGTTACTCTTCCTCGCCACCGTCCTTCATTAACTCCTGGCATCTGGCATGTAATGCTAGTCGACCCTGTTTTTTTTTTTCTTCCCTGGATTAACCACATGTCCTTACTTATACCTGCAAAGTGAGAAGAGATGCACCCGAATTATTTACACGTGTAGCCCAAAGGTCTATTCAGGCAAGGCCCAGCGTCCTCGCTTCCTCCATCTTCCTCTCCAGCTCCCCACGCCACCTGCCCAGAATAACGGCCCTGATGGATTTGGCCCAATCTTGTGTCTTTCAGTCCGCGCTCTTCCTCTCTTCCTGCACCTCCCAACCCCCGCCCCCAACACCCTTGCACAAGTTGACTTCTGTTCGTCATCGACACTGCGCATTATTCAAAGCCTGAAAAGTCGGCGCTTCAGAGGCGACACCTGGATGAGAGGGAACAGAGCGAGGCTTGTGCAGAGAGAGAAGCGCCTATATATTTTGCAAGGCCGTTGAATTGCCACTGAGTTGCAGCGGAAACGCCCATTAGGGCTTCGCTAATTAACCTTCAATGGGCCACTCGTTACGCACTCCCGATTTACTGTCAAACCATGGCCAAGCCTTCCTTTTATTTTTCATTAAGATGATCTCATACCTGACTATACTGCATTCAGGGGACCCTCCAAAATTGTACCGATTGAGTTTCATTCACAAAACGGGGCTTTTTTAATTTCATCCATCCAACCATTAGAGCTACAGCGGTGCATTGACTTGACGCAGGTAGAATCTAGTGTTCAGGGTAAATGTGGACATTAGAACTGAGTCACCAAGAAACAGGCTGTTCCCAAATTCATTCATTTGAAATGAAACCGAAGAAGCTTGCGTTACTCAGTGTGTCCTTTTCCCACTGTGTTCTCAGTTCCAAGCCAACCTCCTCAGAATGTGCGCGCCATCTCTGTCACATCGGATGAGGCCGTCATCTCTTGGGCCGAACCCCCCAGGATGACCCTGCACGGCGTTCTGAAGGGCTACCGTGTCATCTTTTGGGCCGTCTTCCCAGACGGAGGTGTGTGTGAACTGCTTCTACTTCAATTGCTCAAACTAATGTTTCCCAACCGCTGAGGCACATATTTCATAATGAGAAAATTCCCACGGTAGACTAAAGAGCCCCATGCGGCTCCAGAGCCGCAGGTTGCCGACACCCGATATAGATGAACAAAGGTTAGTATTTGTAAAACGTAAAAAATAACTTTTGGACCAATGAACTGAAATTTATAATTCTCCATGGCTCTGATCTCTTCTTGCGCAGTAGTCGGGAATCGCTGTAGGTGCTGAGTGTCCAATCTGAACATTTGTCTGTTGATGTGTTTCCTCAGAATGGGGTGAAATGCAGAACATCACCACAACTAAGGAGCAGGTGGAGCTCAGGAGTCTGGAGAAGTTCACCAACTACAGCATCCAGGTGCTGGCCTACACACAAGCTGGCGATGGCGTGCGCAGCAATGTCCTGTACATCCAGACCCGTGAAGACTGTGAGTTCACTCTTGATGTACTTTATCTATTCACACACACACACACACACACACACACACACACACACACACACGGATAAAGCATTTTTATCCAAGGGTTTAAGACATTTCAGCTGTGGTGTGGGAGGCGCATTCATGCAGCGGGTAGAGGGTCTTTGTAAGGCTGAGGTAGCTGATTAAAACCTCTTTGTGCTCTGATGTGCCATTACAAGTGCTAATGAGAATTAAGTAGCCAAAAAGTGCGAGTGCGTGCGTGATGAGCCTTAGGGTGAGGATCTGTGCATGTAAAACCATTGGAGGGAGGGAGTTGTTTAATGTGTGTGTGTGTGTGTGTGTGTGTGTGTGTGTGTGTGTGTGTGTGTGTGTGTGTGTGTGTGTGTGTGTGTGTGTGTGTGTGTGTTTTTGCATGAGCGCACTTCCCAGCTTTGGGGTTGTGCATGTGCAAGTGTGTGCGAGTGTGAGAAACTGCGCTGTTGCGTGTGCGCTAGTCTCGCCCGGCGCCCCGTACAAGAGAGAGATTAATTCTTTGTATCTTCGAGAGAATTAATTTTGTGCTTACACTGGTGGGTTGTGGATTACATCCGGATCCGCCTCTTCGCTCTATCCTTGAGGCCCCGACAAGGGAGGAGGCTAGGCAGGGGTATAAGAGATTTTTAAGAAGTGTCATTTCACCCGAAGGCTTTTATTCTCTCTTCCAATCGGCTATTCTTTGCATTAGTAGCTCTTCAAATATGAGTGCGTGAGTGTGTGTTTATCACAAACTCGGCTGAGCGGCTCTTTTTTCACCCTGATGCGGGCCGACACTGCGTCCAGGGGCGACCTCTTCACATACGTTCAATCTGATTTTTCTGATCCCTTTGCCCTCAGTGCTCTGTGCGGCATATGGGAAAGTGTTTACAGCGGAGTTGTGCAAACACAGCAATTGTCGGGCCGCATCTTGCTGCCGTGAAAGCACAGATGACAGTGATTCACGACCGCCTTTTGCAGGCGTCCCTTTCAATGTGCATACCTGTGTTTACATGGCCGTGCTTGTTTACAGCGCCTTGGGTGCTTTATGGTCCTCTTGGAGCCATCCATTTTTAGTGACTGAGTAGCCAACATCTGCATCGAGTCAATAGGAAACAATATAAAATGTCGGCTGTCGGCAATTGACCAGGTCGTTTTTTTGTTGTTGTTTTTTTTTAACTGAACAATATCAAATATACCACATATTGGTTCATAAACACTATTTGCCTGGCAAGCTCTACAAATGAGTAAAGAAAAGATTTGGACACTACAGATGTATCAAAATCATCGATGTGAAATTAATCAACATGGCCAGATGTCTAATGGTACTTATAATCAGACAAAAAAAAAAAAACAACAATCTTAATATGTTTTATGGAATTTGCTTTTGTGTAAGAACCCATACATCAATTAGTTTACGTTACGTTCCATCTGTTTTCTCATTCTATGATGCAGACCCCGGGCCCCCAGCTGGCATCAAAGCTGTGCCCTCCTCCGCCAGCAGTGTTGTGGTATCCTGGTTGCCCCCTCATAAACCAAATGGTATCATCCGAAAGTACACCATCTACTGCTTGAGCCCCGGATCAGGCCAACCGGTGAGTTCAAAGGGGTGCACGCACTTATGTGGAAGTGAACAAAAGCATCAAGAGATGATGCTTGAAACATGGGATATGTTAGCAGGGTGCATCATTCTTTTTTTTCATTCAGCTTTTGTTGTGTGTAATTCATACGCTGCAAAGATAACGGTGACACTGATTCAATTATAATATATATCGATTGCGTGTGCGCTCACGCACTTTTTTTGCTGCAGTCTCAGCACGAGGCGTGCGCGTTTGTGTGTGTGTGTGTGTGTGTGTGGTTGTGAGTGTGTGTGTGTGTGTGTGTGTGTGTGTGTGTGTGTGTGTGTGTGTGAAATGAGCTCCACTCGTACCGCAGTGTGTGCGAGCTCACCCTCCCGCCTTATTTGCATATCTGCGTCTCATCTCGTTGCCATGACAACCTCATCTGTTCATCAAGCAGCGCAGAATAACACACACGCACTCACTCGTGCGGCAGACTCATCTATCTATCTATCTATCTATCTATCTATCTATCTATCTATCTATCTATCTATCTATCTATCTATCCCTCCCTCCTCCCTCATTCCCTCCATCCATCCATCTAGCCATTCATGCGTTCATCTGAAGCCCCCATGCAGAGTTCTGGATGATTACTATGTAAATGAGTGCCACTGGAGAAAAGGAAGGAGGGATGGAGCGGCTGGGAGGGGCCGAGGTGGGGTGGGGGAAAGGAACATTGATTTGTGTGGCATTCCGCACAGGAACACTTCAGCCTTATACCGCCTTCCTCCTCCATTCCGACCCCCCCAACCACACACCCACGCACCAACGGTGTTGTTTTTGACTTGTACAGTTTCCACTCTGATATCCATCCATTCATAACTGCCGCAGTTCCTCCCTTCCCCTTCACCCACAGCGTTTGAGTGTCAAGACAAATGCACAGAGAGGAGTGTCATTGAAGTAAATGTGAGTCAGCACGAGGTTGTAAAGCACCAAGTGGAAGAGCGGGGTTCAAGGGGTTGCGGTCACTGTCCAGGCTGAGGAATAGAATCATGTCCGTGTGGGTTCCAACACTCATACATGGGAACAACAGCATGAAAGAACCTGCCAGAATAAAAATAAGATAGCAGGTGCAATTTTACTGACCACTACCCTGAATTAGTGCCAAACCGGTGAGTGTGTTGACATTTAAAATGGTTGCAGCAAATGTTTGCATGAGTGGTTATTAGGAGAAAAATGAATGCACTGTACGAACGCATTCATTCCTCCATGAATTTTCCGATTCTCTAACTGCATCGGAAAAGATGGCTGAATGTTCTACAGCAGTGGTTCTGAACCTTGTGAGAGGTACCGAAGCCAACCAGTTCTTCTGCGCATCCACCGAAACCTTAGTGAAAAATAAAAATATGATTCAAGAAGTGATCCTTCAGTTTTGCCGGTGCGAGACGAGAGTTGCTCAACTTGGCATGACAAATCATGCAGATAGGACGCTGAGTCCCATCACGTTCTGTGATGCATGTGGATCTATGTTGATGTACAACATGGCATGTGTTAAAACATAATTTTTTTTTTTTTAATCATACGATCACGACAGTCACACGTTGACTACTAAGCGAACTCAATTTCCCGCAGCGCTGATTGAACAAGCAATGTCATGTAATCATCTCTAGTCAGTGATGGCCAAGCGGGCGTGTCATAACTAATTGACATCTTGAGTCGGGTGTGTCTTAACCTCCATGGCAGAGGCTCTGTCGAACCCCTGAGACTGATTCACCGAACCCCTGGGGTTCGATCGAACCCAGGTTAAGAACCACTGTTCTACAGCTTCAGTCTTGTGACTTGTTTACTACTCGCGACTTAACAAACATACATAGAGGGCACCTTGAGGGCCGCGATCTTGCCCGTTTTAGATGTTTCCCCTCCCCCGACACACCTGATTCAAATTATCAGCTCAACAACAAGCTCTGCAGGAGCCTAATAACCATCCTGCTCATTTGAATCAGGTGTCTTGGAGGAGGGACAGGTCGGCAGTTGTGATCGTATTAAATCCACAACGTGTAATTCTCTTTGTTTTATGCGTAGTTTGACAGTAAACCTCAACTGGGAGTGGGATTAAATTGCCTGAAGCCTCTTACTCTCAATCTATCAAACTGGTGTTTGTTGTAAAGTGACTTGAGTGAATTTATCTGCTCACGAGTCAAAACAAAACAAAACAAAACAAAAAAAAAAATCAGCCGAAGAAGTCATATCTGCAAATTCTGAAGTCAGGTCATTTATATCTCAAGGCAGCAATAAATGGAGGAATAATTGGTTCGAATCTGAGGAGTGGCTGCCGGTCATTGTGTGTTTGAGAACACAGTGATGTGACTAGACAGCAGACACATGGCTGGGTTAAACACGCTGCAATTACACATCCAGCTCCAGGTCATGTATGTGTATGCTGTGTGTGTGTGTGTGCGTGTGTGTGTGTGTGTGTGTGTGTGTGTGTGTGTGTGTGTGTGTGTGTGTGTGTGTGTGTGTGTGTGTGTGTTCTCTATCAGTCACTCTGTGAGTGCAAAGTGTGGATTTCTGTTACTTTCTATGTTTGTTGCAGCTGCTGTAGATTGGACTCATTAGTGTATGAGTGTTCAAGATATCATCGACTCTTTCTCCCCATTGTCTTCCACTGTTTTCACGCTGCCTTGGGAGCACTTGCCCTCCTTTCCTCCCTTCCAGCCTTGCTCCCCCTACCCTCCCCGCCTGCCACCACATACACAGATTTGTCAGATTTTGCCCCCCCCCTCCCCATCCCCTCCACCCAAAAAAAAAAACTACACCTTCCGCGACCCACCTCATGTTTGATTTGAGGGGGAGACTTGAGGGCCTGCTTCGCATTAAACTGATGTTCACTGAGTCCTTCACATTACTTCTGCCTCTCTTGTAAAATGACAGTCTGACCCAGTGTTTGAAATCCCCTGGATTTTACTCACTGATTTTGTTACCATGCCAACATTAAATAGGCTGCTTGTCTCTTTCAAAAAAAAAAAAAAAAAACATGAAATATAACCACTCCAGGCAAAATACAACACATTTTATAATTTAGTAATTGTTTTAAACCTATACCTGCATCTTTCTCAAAATATACAGTAAACATATATACCATTACATACTGACCACATCCTAAGAGCATCAGCGTATCATTATCGATCACTGGATGTGTTGGAAGTCAGAGTGGTGTACAACTGAAATATCATATGAAGAGCTGTTCTTATATTTTGGAGAGCAGTAAAACGCCACCAACTGTGATTTTGTGCTGTTTTATTACTCTGACCATAAACATACATTTAAAATCATTCATTAGTTACTTTCAGGAAGGGCAGCAGTGAACCTGTATGCACTCCCCTTTCACTGAGACAACCACGCTTGTTTTATGTGATCAGCAAAACTAAATATGTAACATGCAATTATTAAATACTGTACATTCGACAGGCTACGGGAAATTAGAGTGCATATTAAAAGTCAGTTACCAATGAAACGCAGGGAATGAAACTGCTTAAAAAAAAACATGGTCGTGCCGGTTGCCATCCACTTGTAATGTGCATTACTGCCACCTATTGGACTGGAGTGGTGCAGCATGAAGTAAACACAACCGTGTCACTATTCCAATTATCGCTTCAGTTTGTGTCGGTGTACTTTGTACAAAGGACTTAATGTTGTGTTGAGCTGATCGTATTTGTCTTACGTCCTCCCTGTGTCCTTTCCTCTCCCATCCCCTCAGATGCCCAGTGAGTATGAAGCCAACCCGGAGCTCGTCTTCTACCGCATAAACCACCTCAACCACAGGCAGCAATACTTGATCTGGGCTGCAGCCGTCACCACTGCAGGACGTGGAAACTTCAGCGACAAGGTCACCGTTGAGCCCGCCGCCAAGGGTGAGGTCCCACTGTGCAAAAGCAGGTTTTGGATGTTAGATGACTTGACTTGCCCACAGGGTTGAAGAGTAGCTCTTCAGTGTACTATCCAGCAAAATATGGCACTCAATATCAATAAATGCATCTTTCCATTCACCTGCTTGAATTGATAAACATGTTCAGGACACATATGGAGCTTACTTCCTTAAAGCTGCTTTTCTATTCAAATGTTTTTTTTTTTTTTTTTTTTTAAGTTCCCACCGGTCAAATTCAAGTCACACACAGCAGCTTTGAATAAAAGCAGCCTACCATTGAGCAACACCTCAGAGAGCTGAGTCACGTTCCCTGCAATCGTTTTTTTTTTTTTTTTTCCCCTCTGTATACTGCCTGTTTTCATGCAGCATAGCACGGTGCTCTATTGATTTCTAGGTTCAGAGGGCACCAGATAAAGTGCTCTAAACCGAGGGAGGTGATTGAGGGGCTGCATAAGGCTAAGAGAAAATAGCATGACGGGAGAAGTCTTAACTAACACACAAGACAATGAAGAGCCCAGTTAAATCAATAGCCGCTGGATTAAAAGGCGAGCAACACTGGAGTTGGAAATAATAAATACTGTCTTTTGGTGTTGCTTTTTTCATTTTTTTTTTGACTCCTTGGTGTAAAGATTTGCTCGCATGCCAGTGTGTGTGTGTGTGTGTGTGTGTGTGTGTGTGTGTGTGTGTGTGTGTGTGTGTGTGTGTGTGTGTGTGTGTGTGTGTGTGTGTGAGATTGGCAGCTGTAAATGGACCCTCCGCAGGCTTGGCCACTCAATACTTCATTTAACCAAATATAAGTGTACTAGAGTGCTGGCGTTAAGAAGCCTAGCCAGAGAAAATAAGTGGAAGGGTGACGAGGCCCCTGATTGGATGGATTTTTTTTTTCCCATTATATCCTCTCGGCTCATTCTTTGTCACGTCCTGTATTATTCATATTGGACTTTGCTGGGCAATGTCATTTGTTATGGTTTAGCACAAGGTTTCAGCCATCACAGTTGAGGGGGACTTATATTCATCTGTTTCTGCGCTTCCAACTGGGAACAATTTAGAAAAGGACCTTTTTTGAGTTCCAACGTGACTATGCACCAAGCAAGTTCCAGAAAGATGAAATGTGTTTGGTGTGGAAGAATTAGGAAGCTGCCTTGACCTCAAATATTTATGTGATTTTATCAGGAGAATAAACTGCCAAGTATTTTACAGAAACATTTTTTTTAAATCCCTCATCGATAAATGACATTGCCCATCTGTGATCTTTGGGCAGAAAATTTGGTTCACCCCTGATTTAGGCCCGCTTCACACCGAGCAAGGTGGCAGAACAAATGACAGACGTCGACTCACACCCACTCACCTGGCGACTGATGTTCACATACCTACAAACGCGTAGCAATGGAAAAATTGCAATCCCTGCTTTTCTCACTGGGTAATAACGTTTTGAGGCGCTACATACTTTATTGTATTCTTTTTTTTATTGAACCACAAACACAGCATGGTTGTCAAGGAAGAGACGGATGACCCCTGAATGATGCAACTATAAATAAGACAAAGAGAGAAAATATATAAGAAATAAAGAAATGAATTTCGATATTTGACCAGCTCCTGGCAATGATTGCCCCATTCTGTGACTGTAGTCATGCACTTCAGCTACGGAGACTCTCCACGCTTTGCTACTTAGCTGCAGGTACATATAGTTAAGTATTTTTGACAACACAATATACTGGCTATTGCTCTGTATCCAGAAATGTCATGAAAAGGTCATGTGATACACCATAGCGTTTTTGATTGGCCGTTAAATCTGCGACAGAGTCGGCCACCAACAATTTGCAGAACCCTGCGCACGGCGTGGCAGTTCAGTTGCCTTTGAGGCTTTAATTGCAAGTGTCTTGTCCTTCCACACATAAGGCCCAATTTTGATGCTCAGTGCAAATCTAGCTCAAAGTGCAGTCTAACTGTCCGCAGGGGCGCGGTTTTCATGCTTTTGGTAATTGTTGACGAGTGCAGTTAGAAGACGGTGTGTGCGCCATTGCAGGAGTGAATGCAGCCGACCCTCTTCCCCAGCCAATGGAAGCGGCTCCTTTTTAATCCCTTTAAATTCAGTGCAGGAGAAGTGCATACATTTTTTTGCCCCCCAGCCCCCCT